AAAGTGTCCATAATGGACACCCGACACCTCTCCATTGAATAAAGTGCTGACCCCACTTGCACTTCATCCAATGGTGAGGTGCCGTGTGTCCATTATGGACACCATTATGGCACCCCTAATGTACAAGAAGAATTATGCAAAGAATAATGCTACATGTACATTATGGTACACATAATGGTGTCCATAATGTACATGTGCGCGCCCCTATTGGGGAGAGTGCATGTGGGCCAGGTGCTCCTCCCAATAGGGGACATCACATGTACATTATGGACACTATTATGTGTACCATAATGTACATGTAGCATAACTCGCTTTATAAATAGGGAAAAAATCATATATACTGTATTTTGAGGAGAGAAAATTTATAAATAAGAGTTATAACTCATTTCAAAATTAAGATAAAAGGTTTAAAATTTCAAAAATTAAATATTTATTAAATTTTATTTTCGAAATAATTATTTAAAAATATATTTTATAAATTAAATATAAGGTAACAAATTTATATAATTTGGTCAGATATTATCAAATTAATTGGTTACAAATATTTTCTCGATCATAATTAAAAATTTTATAGGTCAGCACCTCACCACTGCCATTAGCCGTATCGCCACCACCATCTCCAGCAGCCAAACCATCATTTTAAACACCGCAACAAACACCACCAACCTACCACTTCACAACCACAATTCCCACAAAAAAAAATCCCCACAATTGCCATCGGGCACTACCACTGCCATATCAACTACAACACCACCACACACAACACATTATAACAACCACATCACCTCCCAGAACAAACCAACACTGCCACATCTCAACACCACAAGACTTATTCCTCTTCATTTCCAATTGATGTCCCACAAATTCAAACTGTTTCTAGAAGGTTTCAAGTAAAATAGCAGTAGGGCGTTTGGAGGTTATTTACAGCTTTCGTGTAAAACTCAGTTTCGATCCATCCAAATTGTATACAACAGCATGCATATCATGCAAATTCTTCAAACCCGCAACATCGCCATTCTACATGAAGCATTAGCAATGCGCGCCCCTCCGTCGCTGCTTCATGCGCACTGACAATCTATTCCTCATTGTCGCTGCGTCGTGTGCAGTTGTGGCTTTGGGAATATTTGTGGTGGTAGTGGCATTAACAGAGACTGCGGGTTTAAGAAATTTTTTTGTTATTATGATTTGGTAGAAATGGTGAGGTGGTTGAATAAGGTGGTGGCAATGTGGTGCTGGTCGTGTGGTGGTGGCGGTGCTTTCCGGTGACAACTAGAGATAAGAGAAAATGTGGGATAGAGAAGAGAGAAAATGGAGAAGATGAAAATAATTAGGGTTTTGGTGTGGGTGGTTGGGTATGGATTATGTGGGATGGATATGTATAATATAATTATAGATATTTAAAATTTTAATTATCATCTGATTTTTGAAATAAAAACTTGTAAATCATAATTTTGAAATGTGAAGTTTAAAATTCTGGTAGACTTTAATTTCCAATTTTGAGAATCATCCTTTTTTTTTTTTGCAACGATGACCATGAAAGACTTTAAAACTTCATTTTTCGAAAATGACTATTTGTGGAGAAGTCTCGGGTAGATTCGTAGAAAAGCCATTACATAAATACAGTGTTTATTGTACAATTTTTTGACCGAAATCGAGATTAATCCAACGAGTGTGATTCTAGCGTGCATCTTATTGTGTCTATTGTATGACTATATGGTCTCACATGTATAGACACCATGCTCATTATAAGCTATGAAGAAAAAAGCTTATTGAATAGTGGATACATGGAAGGCCAGAGAAGAAAGGAACAAATTTGGTATTTCATGGCTTTTTGTGATGTTTAAAATTGAATTCATTTATTTGATTTTCTAATAATGATGATAATTAATTAATTTAATTGTGAGATGGTGGTGGTGGTTATTGGTGGATCCGACGATGGTGGGGGTGACATGAATAGTGTATGTGACTAATTATTGGGTAATTTATTCTGTGACATACTTAATGAGTGATTTGTGATTAAATATATGAGTGTAGTCAATTAATTTGATAATTTGTGACCGATTAATAATATGTGACTTATAAAAAAGTGTAATTTGCGACTAAATTTGTAATTGTAACCTACAATTGTGTTTTTGACGTGATAGTGATCTTGTGTGGTTTGTGACTCACTTGTAATCGTGGCCAATAATTATGTGTTAGTGTTTGTGATTTGTTTAATTAAATTATATATCACAAAATTTAATCATAGGTCACGTGATCTGTGATCTACGACCTGGGAGCTGTAGCCAAATATATGTCTAGTTGGGACTTGTTACCAATGCAAAATGTGACCTGTGACTTGAGACCTATAATCAATTATATTTCTAGTTGTCACCAACTATCAATGCAGAATGTGACCTGTGATCTGTGACATATAACAATAACATGTGACCTGTGATCGACAGGTAACATTTTATAAGATATATCTATAATAGCATCAAACCTCATATGATCTGCTTAAATGATAAGAACTTCAAATGTATAAAAATATCAACAGCAACATGAGCAAACTAAATGACTTGTGGAAATAATGCACAACTACTTATATTTAGATACCTATAATTTTGGTAAGAATACCTAACATCACATCACATATTACAAATTTTATAGGTCACAATTTATCAAATTAATATTTTCACGACTTATTTTTCGATCATAAATAAAAAAAATTATAAGCCATAACTTATTTAACGGTCACTACTTTTTGAATATGTGACATGTTATTAGTGTACAAAGACATGTGACATATGATTTGAAACCAATTTATTTTGATCCGTGACATGTTGACATTAATCTGTGACATGTTCAATATGACATGTGACATGCGATATGTGACATGTGAA